AGCGGCACAGGGCTGTGTAGTGGCCGTAGTGGACGCTGCCCGAGTGGTTGCAGAGGGCGTACAGCTGGTAGACGGGGCTTCCTGCGGAGGCAGAGGCCGTGGGAGCCGGTTGCGGCTGGCCCCCCCCCCCCCCCACTCGCCTCCCCTTCTGGCGCTCCCAGGGCCTTCCCACCAGACTCACCGGCTTTGTCGCTGGCAAAGTCCCCCAGGCTCAGGCGCTGCAGCGGGAAGTCCACACCTACGGAGCTTTTCTTGATGGAGCCTCGGGAGGCGGGAAAACCGATTCAGATCTAAGCCCTGGTTAAGGAGCAGTTAGAGGGGGCGGGGGCGAGAGGGGCCTCCGAGGGGACTGAGATCTTGAATGCTGTCCACTCCCCTCCCCCAAGGAATACCGGGAGCATGGCAGGCAAGGTGGTTTCCTAAGGAAAATTCAATTGCCAATTATCCAGCCTCTGCAAACATGGGGAATGAGAAAGAGAATGGATGGAAGAAATAGAATCTGAAGATTAGGATACGGAGTACGAGGATTCGGGGGAATCTTTGTACTGTCAACTTTTTGGTACTTCGTGTTTTCTGCTGACATCGGTCACACACCTGAATATCAAATAATGTTAGATTACTGTGCTCCTCACTCGAATGGCTTTTCCGACACCCTGGCCACATACAATTTACTACTCCCCATTAATTCTGTACGCCCTGGGCCTCCTTTGCCCCAAGAGTACTAGGACTTACCTGAGACCAACAGAAACCCAGACATACAAATGTTATTCCCCATAGTAAGGCATCATGCAGCCCCTTTAACCCATACGGAGCCCCCCAATAGTCCCCAGTGCTACTACATCCCGTTTGAACCCCACATACTGGGGCATTTTCCGACTCCAGCTCTTCTTCCTTGGTGAACAGGCTGAAGCAGTCCCGCAGAGACACTTTGCCCCCAGCAAATCCTTTCTGGAGGGAAAGGGGAATGAAGGTCAGCATGTTCAGCATTTCCTTTTCCAACTCTTCATCAATCCAGGCTTCATGTCTCCAGAGACCCAAAGGGTTCCTTCCCACACTCTGGGGGCAGCTAGGTTGGGTCACCAAACCCATGTCCCATCCACCCTTGGAATCCTCTGGAATCCCACCTTAGGGATGGGCAGGGACAGGTCACAAAAAACCTCGAAGGTCGTGGAGCGATACCCACAGGCCTGGCACTTGAGACAACTTTTCAACTGGCCCACAAACAGGTCTGGACAGAAGTAGAGGGCAGGAGAGTCAT